CCCCCCCCCCCCACCCCTTCTTCTTCTCTCAATTAAAAAAAAATGAGGCAGTTGAATCCTAAACCAACTGGGTAAAGCTGAGAAAGAAGCATCGGGTTGACTGTTCTTCCCCATCCTAACAGAAAACAGGAAATTTATTCCCTAGAACGAATAAAACAAAAGATCTCTGTACTTGGAGATTACCAGACTTTTGAAGATTGGGGTACATATTTGGCACAGGTGATTTAGTGAATGCTTACATACTGGATGTTAGATTGCCCAGCTTTTTTCCTCAACTCAGCTTCCACATTTCATGTACCTTTTAAGCAGATGGTTTGAAGAGTCTTTGGGACTTTTAGTCCAACCTTCTAGGAAAGATGTAGAGATATTTGTATAAGGGCTCTCCCTACAAAACAGAACCACCAGATAATCCTACAAGGAAGACCACAGTTTGGAAGCCCCACCAATACACATGGGAGCTTCCAACAGCTTTTTGTTTTTTAACCTATTTTTTAAAATATATTTTCATTGATTTCAGAGAGGAAGGGAGAGGAAGAGAGAGATAGAAATATCAATGATGAGAGAGAATCATTGATCAGCTGCCTTCTGCACACCCCACTACTGGGGATCGAGCCTGCAACCTGGGCATGTGCCCTTGACCGGAATCAAACCCAGGACCCTTCCGTCCACAGGCCGACACTCTACCCACTGAGACAAAGTGGCTAGGGCTTGTTTTTTACCCTATTTTTTGATCGCTACACATTTGAGGGAACATCTTAAATGAAATAAACTAAAAATAATATATAAAATACAACTTGGAAGAAATAAACTATAGGAGAGAAGGGGGAGGAATTCAAGACAGACAAGTACAATTTTTTTTGACAAGTAAAATTATCAATAGACCTATATTAATAAATATTACTACATTTATGAAACCAGAGTGCATGAAAAAGAAACATTCATAATGGAAAGAGCTTTTGAAAATTAAAAGTATAATAGCATAAAGAAACAACTCAGACGTGTTAGACAAATGAGGCCATATCTCATAAAGTTGAGCAAATAGGCAAAGAGATGGAAGAGACAAGAAAAAATAAGAAAATTAGAGGAGCTGTTCAGCAGATTCAGTGACCCACTGATGGGAGCTCTGGAAAGATAGAACAAAGAAAATGGAGGGGATGAAATCATTAATAAAGTAACTCAAATTTTATAGAACTGAAGGGCATGAATTTCTAGATAGAAAGGTCCCACTGAGAGCCTAACATAATGGCTGAAAATAGACTCATACCAAAAGATATCTATACTAATAAAAGGGTAATACGTTAATTAGACCGGACATCTTCCAGACATCCTTCCGGACGTCCTTCCAGACACAGCCAGGGTAGCGGGGCCGAGGTAGAAGTGGATAGGGGCGACCAGGCCGGCAGGGGAGGGCAGTTAGGGGGAACCAGGCCAGTAGGGGAGGGCAGTTAGGGGTGACCAGGCTGGCAGGGGAGGACAGATAGGGGCAACCAGGCAGGCAGGGGAGGGCAGTTAGGGGCGACCAGGCTGGTAGGGGAGGGCAGTTAGGGGTGACCAGGCAGACAGGCAGAGTGCTTAGGGGCGATCAGGCAGGCAGGTGAGCGGTTAGGAGCCAGCGAATCCGGATTGCGAGAGGGATGTCCAACTGCCGGTTAATCCCCCGAGAGGTCCGGGAGTGGAGAGGATGCAGACTGGGCTGAGGGATCCCCCTCCCCCCGCACGAATTTCATGCACCGGGCCTCTAGTCCATATATAAAAAATCCAGGGACCGAAACG